TCATGGAACGTGGCTTGGGACATGTGTGTGCTCCATGGTTGAAACCTAAAACTTGCTTTGCTGTTGTACTCATACCCCGAATGCCTTTCACGACCCAATTTTGAGAAGGAGATCACGAAGGCGTTTGTCATAATTTTGCGTATATTTGAAGGGGCATCAGGCAGAATTTGTTCACCATGGCAATGGCTATCTCTTTTGCTGCCATGATCTTATTGTAAATGAGTTTTTTGTTTTAATTTTTGGTACTGTTTTTTCCACGTCTTGTATATTTATTGGGGGGCCTAGAGTTTCCTACTAAAATACAGAGGAGATGGAGGTTTTCCGATTATACTACAGCAGAAATGGAGGTTCAAAGGGTGTTGCCTGTGAAAAAAGAAAGAAACTGGATGTCTTACAGCAAGAACAGGGCGATGGACGTTTCTTATTCAAACATAGCTAAATCGAGGTTTAGAACGACAGCCAGAAAGAACGAACAAAAACAACGGAGAAAGCAACAAAAGCAAAACCATACAGAAAAGCGAAAGAGATAATCAAGAGATACTGAAATACATAGTCATACAGAGAAACATTTGCTTCACGCCCTGCAAGCATGCTGATAAGAGTATCATAATGGACTGCTCTATGCCCCGCCCAATCCCGCGCTGTTTCATCTCTTTTGAAGCTTTGCATGATTGCTTCATAGCATTTTAGGTTTGCTTTGTATACAAAGGTACTGCCATAAAAGAGGACTAGCAATAAGAAACCATGCCAATCTCACTTCAGACCTGTCATGCGAGGCTCCGCCCCCCCCTTCCCCCCCCGCTGTTTAGTTCCTTTGAAGCATTGCATTGCAAGATTGCTTCATAGCCAATGTCATGCCTTACGAGGGACCTTTTCCATCGGTTAAATGGACTTCCGTCACGAATTCAGGGGGTGTTGTGGGGTGTTTATGGAAACCTCTTGACTCTTGACGGATCGAGGCGAGTTCTGTGAATTTCCCAAAGGGAAGATCCTTCCAGGAATAGGTGTGCTTGAATGCTTCTTCGAGCTCTATCCCAAGGCTCATTTGATGTGAATGCTGCCATAGAACTTTGTTTGCAAAGAACACAGTGTGGCAAACGTCGCAATGTTGTACTCTGCTGTGCCAAAAACTAGACTAAGACCATCTGAGGGCAGGGCGAGGGGCCGCGCACTGAGGTGGTAGACTCGCTCTCTCTCCTCATCTCATCGGCCACGTTTGTGCCAAAAGCTCAGCGAGGGTCGAAAGGCTCAGAAGGTGATTATCTGATTGCTGAACATTGCTGAACTGGCTGTAAAAATGCTCTTCCCAGTTGGCCAGGACTTTCATTGTTTTTGTGATGAACACCTTCAGAACGCAGTACAAATTCAGCGTGGACGACCTTTCGAAGTGCCTTGCCGCGAGAGCAAGTTCACGGCAGCTGCAGCCATGATACGCTGACAGGTACGTGGTGCCCAACAATCATGCGCAAACGTACGCAATGGCCCAGGCGGTCAATCCAGTGCGATACTTGGAGGACTTGCAGCGCTGTGTATCCAATGAGCCCAAGACCAGACAACACTGGACCACAACCTGAGAGCAGGATGACTGGTATTTCTTCAAGGAGTTCGAGACGGTACAGAGCACAGGGCCCAGTAGGCCCGGATGCCGATCGTCCAACTTGCCGAAAGAGCGTGAAGCTGAGGCATCTACAGTGTGTTCCTGCAGTTCGGAGCCTAGAGGATGCTCTTGCATGCTTGAATCCAATTGCGTAATATTTGCAACAGGCTGGTTGAGCATGAAAAATCATGAAATGCGTTTCGCCCTGCAGCTTTTCTGTTTCGAATCCGAGCAGTATCAGTACAAGAGCCGCCCCATTGCATCAGGTTTGCTGCCTTAAACAGTCTCTTCATTGCCATCAAGACTATCAAGATCGTCAACAGGCAGCAATTTTGCTTGGTTTTTAAATTCGATCCCGGCAGCCTGTCCGCAGGTTTGGGAAGGTCAGCAAGTTCAGCCAGACCTTGGCCAACGGCAGGGCTCAGACCTTATTTTTCGTTTGTCTTACCTCCATGCAAGTAACTACGCATCCCTACATATCCGAAGCAACGAAGATGCGACTTGCGACATGATGCGACATTTTGCCTTTTGGCGTTCAGAGCCGGAACTTGTACTTTCTCATCGTCATCAAGTTGCAGATGGTGGGCTTTGCCTTGGCAATGACAGTTCGCTGCTTACAAGATTTGTGTCACACCCCGTTGTTGGTTCTTGATTGCTTCACCCATTGCAGCTGCATTGCGTTTGGAAGGTGATCTTCGGCACAATGGCATCAAGCTGAGCCTGTTTGCACCTGGCTCGTTGTCGGAAGACTAAGTGACTAAGGTGGAGGGCTTCAGCAGCCCAATCGCAACCATGGGATCTCTTCTGTACTGGGTTTGTGGTTGGGCCGACTTGGATCCACTTTTGGAGGCGTGCACACACACATACAGACTCTCGCTCGCTCTCTCTCTCTCTCTCTCTCCCCCTCCGTCTCTCTTGCAATTAGGACTCACAAGTGCCGCCCTGCCAAAGGTAAGTCCAATCCTGGCAATTATTTTCTTCGTCGCTTTCATTGTCAGCGGCCTACAACATGCCTCAAGATCGGAGCAAAGTATACTGTCTCAAAGTCTCAAATGCATGCCGTGCGAACTTCTTGACGAGACAGTGCACAACTGCTCCGAATCAGGGGTTGTTGTTCCTTCTTTCTTGGACAGCGCTGAGGTTGGATTATCACAATCGTGTGCTTTACGGGGCTCACAATGTGCTCTCGCGGGTTATGGATCAGAAGATCAGAAGAAGGGAGTTCCACCAGACTCTGGCAGAAGCTGCCCTCAGATACCCTTCCAAAAGTACTTACCCAAGAACGCTTCTTCTGGGTCACGAAAGCTCGTTGTCGTTTACATTCATTTGCCATCTCTTTTGCTGGGTCAACAGACGAGTCCAAGGCCTTATATTCGTATAACTGTTTATGCTCTTGAATAACATAAAGGCAGCATGGGTTGCACCGGGTGATGCCCACGATCTGGAAGGGATGCTTCCCAGTGGCCTGGAGGTTTTTTGGGAGCTTTGCCTCACCCCTTAGATCGCAACGGGCGTGGGAGACAGTGGGACGACCCCCACGTAAACCCAGGCGGCGGGGGGCGGGGGCAGGTGGGAGAAGGGGTGGCGCGCGGCAGGGTTTTGCAAGAAACGAAAAATCAAGTTTCTCGTCAGCTTGAAAAAAGAGATGGAACATGATGGAACATGATGGAAGCATGAAGTGCCGAAGCAAAGGACAGAAGCAAAACTGCGACAAACTCGCTGGAGAATCCCGTGGACGACAGGTTGAGAACATACAGGGCAAAGCACAACTTTGAGAGCTCACATGTAATTGGTTTTAAAACAAAAGGTGGCACTGCATGTTGCCGAACTAGTTAAGCATGCTTTGAAACCTAGAGTTGATTCTCAGGTCTCCCTGCGGATCATATTGCGTGCCAGACAGGTTCTGGAAAGTGGTAATACAAACTTGCGAGTTGAGTTAAGCGAATCTTCAACATCCTGTGGTGGCAAAAGTCCTGGTTGCAAAGTCGGGCGCGCGTGGAGGGTGGGGGGTGAGGGCATGGGGGTGGGTTAAAGGAGGAAGGGGGGGGGTGGCAGCGAACCTGCAAGTGGCATTTGAGGTCATATTCCGCTTCATCAGCACCAACATGTTTTTGGCCACCCAGCTCAACACTTTCGCCGACTTGGCTGGCTGCCAAGTTTTGTTGCCAACATCAGATGTGAGCTGCCAATGCCCATGTCAGTTCTGGCACTCGAAGCCCTGGTATTACATGCCTGGCAAGTGTCTTGAGATTGTTAGCCTAGCTCAACTTCATGGATTCATCGCCGGGAGCGTGAAGAGGGCAGCTTGGGCATGTGGCCGAAGGTTGGCGAGAGTGATATTCGAGCAGCAAAGCGGGCCGCCAGCGCAAAGACGCAGATGTCTCAGCTTGTTGATCTTGTTGTACGGCAGGAGTGTGTCTGCTAGGCAGACGGCAAGTGTCTGCTTGATGGCTGCACTCTTCTGCATGCTTGAGCTACCTGATTGTGGTCATTGGCAAGCCTTGTGGTTCGAAAGTAAGATTAAGGCAGCAAGGCAGTTCAATTCTGATGAGATCTCCTCTCAGGGGAATCAAGGAAGTGCGGTACAGCAGCAAGAAGGAGCTCCAGGAGCCGGTCACGTCTCAAGCTTTTGAAGCTTGAAGGCTTGGAGTGCATGGAGTGCATGGAGTGCATGGAGTGCATGGAGTGCCGGAGTTGTAGTTTACAAATCTTGGGTCAAAAAGTGATGCGGGCTCTCTCAGGTGGGCCTGTCAATACTTGAGATGTCGCAGGGCGGGGAGAAATAGGTCGGGGAGGAGGAAGAGGCGAAGCAGTTGCAACCAGCAACACGGCAATGGAGGCCCAGAGTACGAGGACACATATCCAGACCCCCATTTTCTAAGGACGAGCCAACATCATGTGGCGACGGTGGCCAGTGAAAGGTAAGCTTGCGGTGCTACCCGCCTGTAAGGAGAGCCTGGCCCAAGAACCCAACCGACCCAACCTGAAGTGTTTTATGGCCACTCCCCCCTCCTCCCCAGCGAGGGGACGAGGGCGTGCGGTGTGCGAAAACTTGCAGACACTGGTGTTAATACAAAGGGGGCGGGGCGCTCAAACCCAATTAGCACAGTTGCTGATGTGAGCCAGAAGGGATAGGAAGATTTTGCGTCTTCCCCCTATCCTAGACATGGCTCGCACAAAAATCTTACACAGGAGAAGGTCCTGATTGGATGTTTGGCCTATTGCAGGTTCAAGGGGCCTCAGCAGCTGCTCCCTAAAGCTTTTTGGCGCGATGAACTGTAAATGCTTGTACGTTTGGGCTGTTTTTCTTGGGCTTGGAGCAAGCAAAGCCGGCCTGTACAACTACCTGCTTGCAGGACTACTCCCTACTCTTGTATATTGTACATCATTATCAATTTCAGCCATGTGGCACCTGGACCGAAGACGGAGCTGTTCAACTGGATGCATAGAGGTGCTTGTCGGGGTGTTGCAGTTCGCACATGTTGCCCTCTCTGCCTTTTCTACTGCGCTGGGAGGGTCCGCAACAACCTTCCCCCCCCCCCCCCCCCCCCTCCCCCCTCCGCACCACCCTTGCAGCCTTGAAATAATGCCAGCTGGGGCAAGCTGGGGGCGTCATGGGGGCGTCACGTCCCCGTCCCCAAAAGAGTCTCCACACATCCCGACGCCCTAAACCTGAAACATTGCACGCAGCAACCGCTCACCCCAGCCTTGCCGATTCCATCTTACACACAAGATTCTGTCAAGCACGTTAAAAGTGTTTGAATGTTCCATTTGTTCCCAAACGTTTCTTTGAGCTGTACTCGTTCTACTCAGATTCTACTCGTTCTGCAAGTTGACAATTACATGGGGTCTTGTTTTGGCTGAACACGGCCGGAGGACGACCTGGAGCTCGAGCGCCAGGGTGAAAATCAGGCCATGGCCTCGAGTGACCTCCGTGTGACCATGTCTCGGAGAGCCTCAAAGTTTCAAAGCTTTGCAAAAAAAACGTTTCGCAACATTTTGCAGTCTTGGAATATGCAGGTCTTTGTCAAGAAGATCTTGGGACCGGGCCCAGCCTTGCAGAAGAACGTTGTGGTTGGCGATGTGGTATCCAAGGCGCGCTGCGGTGGCGCCGCAAAATTCAGCTTGGCGTCGTAACATGCTCGTGGCGTGCAAGATCACGCGAGACGCAAGCCTCGAAGTTTAGAGGTGAACAGACAGAAGATGGATTGGCGAAGTGAGCTGTCGGAAGAGGACTATGAGCACATAGAGTTGCTTGCTCAGTTTTGGTGTCGGAGTGGCATGTTCGCTGTGAAAATCGTAGCATCAAGCAGATGCGATTGGTTCGGTGTTGGTCCCTGTTGGCAGAGCCAAGGCGTTCTTTGCACGACCCTCAGTCCATCAGCTGCCTGAGCACGGATTCACAGCGGTAAATCTAATGAGCTAGATATTGTGTAAGCAAAGCGGCTAGCAGCTAGCTGCTAGCTGACAAAGCCCTGACCCAGACCGAGCAGACTGACCAGAGCCTGTTTCATGTTTTGTGTTGTTTTTGGTTTCTCTGTTCTCTCCCTTTTCATTGCGTGAATTATCATGAGCGGTTCCTCAGGATGCCAGACAAAGACGGCTCGCTGACGATCGTCTTCCAGGTGGGGGGGGGGGGCCTAAGCACTGAGCAGACTGAGAGCAGAGCTGAGCAGAGCGTGGACCGTGTCGCTTTTGACGAAGGATGCTCCGAAGAAATCATTAATGCAGCGGCTTGTGAAGGCCATGTCCTGTGCATAGTCACCGATTCAGCATGCCGCCTCCATGATATGCATCCTTGGTGTGCGCCGTAAAAACTTGCTGTTGCAATAGCAGGTCTGCTGCAGATGCGTTGTTCACTCAGACCTGCTTTGCTGGCTTGCTTTCACGAAGCATAAATGCAGCCTGCACCAGGTTGGAGTGAAGAAAAAGGTGAAGCCTGGTAGTGCTGAGCTCAGAGCCATGGGATGCTCACGGAGAATCGTTCTCTGAGCCGAGGCGGGCAGAGCGCGACAGAGTTTGCAATGGCCAAGAACCCGGTCATGAGGCCTGGAACTGCTGACGTTCCTCAGAGATGAGATGTCGCAATTTCCGGTGCGACTGTTTGTTTTAATGATTCAGCAGTATTTAGTAGATCTTAGTAGATTCAGCATGACGTAGCACATGGCGCAGAGCAACAATGAGACCTTGGAAGCTGTTGTCAGGCCAACGGTAAGGAACTTCTGGAGGTCTCACGGTGCATAGCTTGGACAAGGGGAATGCACATCCTGTCAGACCAAGCAAGGTGGCTAGTCTACGCCAGGGAGGTACCTCAACAATGCCTTGGATTTGCAGACTCTGCTTTGCTTCTCGCTTCTGTTTTTTCTGCTGAACAATACGACTACATCAGCTTCCAAACACGCTACAAGTCGGTAAAACGTTGACCATGAATGCATTTACAATGTGGACCTAGGAGCCATCGCAGAAGTGGAGAAGGAATCGTTGGGAGAGTGGACGCAGGAGGCGCCAACGTCAACAATGAAGATACATCATATGTTGCACATGGTACATGGGTCGGGAGTAGATGATGTGCACTGTGCCAAAGCTGCGAAGCTACGGAGCGATTGGAGAGGACAAAGAAGAGGAGGAGAGTGTGGCCAGCGAGGCCGAGGATGCCGAAGGCCGGGACGCAGTAGACATGCTATAGACATGCTGTCGGTTCGTTTCTTCCCTTTCGGGAAGAAAATTGATCTGAAGGTTTAGAAGATCGACAGCTCCTTGATGAAGTTCCACAGGCCATGGTATAAACGGAAGAGCCAAACACCGAGCAGCGTCACTTTGAGATCCGAGTAGTGGTTTGCATATTCGCATCAACAGGCGCGGTAAAATCCCGGTAAAACTTGAAAAACGTCATTCCCAGGCATTGAGTCGAGTTACAAGCACTGCCCTTGATGCCTCTGGCAGAGGAACGGTCAAGACTGGCAAAGGCTCGGGCAAAGAAGAGGCAAGTGGCTGCCGGTTCCCAGCACTTAGGTTCTGCTTCCCTCGCCCTCCCCTTCGCCTTCTATCTCGTTTTATGCTTCTCTCTCCTCACCCAACTTTGTGGGCCAAGCGATTGAGAGAACAGAAACATGACAGCACCTGCCGCTGCATTGTGTCATCGCAAGGCTCGACGGGTTTCTTTTCTCCAGATGGCCAGATGGCAAAGCTCCAAAGGACTTTGCATGAGAGGTTTGACCATCTACCAAGAACGAAAGCACATATGTGTATTTGTAACTATTAGTCACACTCTTGCCGATGGTATCGAGATCACTTCTGGCACCAATCAAAGACCTCGTTTGTGCCAACGCCATCACTTGCGGCCCCGGGGGGTTTTGCACTTAGGGGTCTTTGGGGGGGGGGGGGAAGGGGGTAATCACTTCAATTCATATGGCGACCTTGCCCCAAACATGGGTCTTTGCGGGTTTTTGCCAAGGATGTTTGACGTTTATTTCTGGAACAAGACACGCGGGTACAAGCGTTCATGCCCTTTGCGAAGATGCCCACAACACCGGTATTTACAGCGTCTTTGTTTATCTATACAACGTATTGTGGAACAAGACACGCGGTCACAAGCGTTCATGCCTTTGGCGAAGATTCCGAAAACACTGGTATTTGCAGCATGTCGCAAAACACCTCGAGTTTTCCGCGTTTTCCGGCATCCAACTCCAAAATCAAATCACACGCGCAAAGCAAACTCATGAAGAGTTCATGGCCGCTACGGGCGTTCGACTGCAGACCATCTAGAACCAAGAACGACACGACAGGGTTGTCCATTTTACAACGCACGTGTGCATCTGCATTATAGGGGCCGCGACAAAATTCGGCATGCACGCTGCGATTTGGTTTGTTTTGATAATTTTGATGTTTTGTGCATTTTTCTGTTTATGTCTGTGTCGGAACTTTTTCTGAGATGTGCACGAAGCCCTCTCCCAAGTCCACGGCTGTAACGACCAACGGATGAAAACACCGCACGTGCGCGCTGACGGGTATTCATCACACGGTTGCATATTCATATCATCTTTCCTTCTGCAAGTGATCGCACTGCCATGAAGTGCCGTCAAAATCCGTCAATGATGCTATTCTTACTATTCAGATTGCGTATTTGTTTTCAAGAACTTTGCGGACACTTGCTGTCACTTGCAGCGCGTGCCAGCTTGCACTCAGTTGGCAGTAAAGCAGCTGAGAGCACATGTCAGATCATCGTCTGATCTCTTCGGATCTCTTCGGGAACAGTCGCAGTGAATTGGCCCGTCAGGAGGCATCTGCTGCAAACTCCGCCCCTCAGACTTTGGAAGGCTTTCGGTGCCTGCAAAGTGTCGAGAGCAGGGGGCCCAAACGGAGTGACCCGTTAAAAGGTCCACACTTCTAAGGCGGGCACGGAACCTCCCCCCCCCCTTTGCTGCAGAGGTTCCAGCACCAAACCAAGAGAAACCGCGAAGCATCTGAAGAGATAGAGACCGGCCGCAACACCCAACCTTGACCAAACTGTGAGAAAAGAGCGATTCACAATGATCTTCCTCCGATGTCGCGGAAGGCCATGACGACTCTCTACAACTCCAGGAGGAAGACATCTTGCAGGTGGGTTTTGGTATTACCTTGAAGTTGGCGTCCCTCACGCCGGTGCAGATCCAGAGTTGCTCTCAACTGCTGTGGAAGGAAGGATGGGATGTGGACGAAATGGCTGACGTCATCAAGTCAATGCGGATTACCGGGCAGGAGGCAGTCTCCAGCAGCTCCAGCATGTCAGTTCTGTCGTGTGGACATAGCCAGGTCTGGTTGGACTGCTTGCTGGTGGCTTTGGAGGAGGAGGCCTTCCTGCCACAATCTACTGTGCTGCAACGTTTGCTTTGCGCATTTTGGTCTCGGCCATTCTTCGGCCAACGCACAGACGATGCAATCGAAAATCAAGATGTCTCAGCGGGGCCTTGAATACGACGGGCGACGTCACTCTTCATGGGTCTTGGGCTTGCCCATGTCGGTCTGACGCCGTGCGCAGGCTACGCAAAGCTATCGAAACAGAACGTTAGCTGTTACCTTTTGCGATCGGATGAGCTGCAAAGAGTTCGCCGACGTGCCGTAAACTGAACCTTGGCCAGGTCGATTTGTCGATGGTCCCTTGTACGTAGCATCAGCTTTCATCGAGTCTCAGCATGAAACAACAATACCATGGCATGGCACGGCCCGCCCAACTGAAATCATCTCGGCTCCGTGGAATCAGTGCATGTGCTCAGGATTGCTCAGCTTTCTTTGTAACTTCTGCGCTACTAGGTGCTGGAGGAGTCCCCGATCGTTGAAGTGCTCCGCACCAACGACTTGCAGGACGCGCATGGACGTGGAGGGAGTTCCCAGCCTTTTCTGTGCAAGCATTCCCTAGTCCGGAGTTGTTGCGCTTCTTGCGCCGAGCATGTGCAAAGTTCCACTGTCCAGGATGTGTCCAAGGACAAACTAAAGGGCGGTAGCCCAAGATTCCGACAGCTGAAGACCGAAGACTGGTGAAGCGTCTTTGAGAGCTCGGACGACTGAGGCCCAGCGAGGGAGAGGCTGCTCAAGTTTTACCGTCGCTTGGATCAGGCAGCCTGGACAGCTTCGAGTGCATTAATTGGATGTGAAGTTCACTGAAGCATCCGGCGAATTACTGTACGGCCGCGCATGGAAGAAGCCCAGCCAACATTGGATGCTGCTGGTTTGCCAGCCAAAGGTGCTGAAGATTCTTGAGAACAAGTCATACCGAAAGTACTATCAAAACTTATTGCCGAGCACTTAGCACACCTTTGCGCGGGGCATGTCTCTCTCGAATGCAGAATATGGCCGCCACTGCCGAGGGCGGAAAGTGTGCAGCGCCAGCAGCTCTTCCAGCAGCAGAATGAGGCTTCCCCGCTTACAGGGCTAATGGGAGACTTCCCTTGGGATTCTTTCCCCTGCGGAGACCAAACCGGGTTTGTGCCAGGTTCTTCATGACTATGTGTGCCGGGGCCTGAGAATGACCTGTCGATCCAACCTACAGAATCGTTGCAATCCTCCACGGCATTCCCTCTTGTTCCATGGTTGAACCCTCAGGTGAATTGGAGAAGGAGTTTGCTGATATCAGCGATGCGATCTACAACTATCGCTCCAAAAAGGACTTTCCTCCTCGGTGCTACTCCTAAACACCCCAAACTTTTGGCCGGATGGGTTCGGTCAGTGGTCTCCCACCATCTCCGATCATGACCCACAGGGACCAAATGGGTGTCATGCCGTTCGAGCTGTGGTCGACCATGGTGTCCGATCACAGGCACTAGAAGGGCCGGGTGATCGTGCGGCTCATGAGCGCACAGACAGGGGCCGGGTGAGTGGCTCGGCTAGTCGGGCTTTGGTCTTCGCGCAGGACCTCATGATAATGCAGAGGAACTTGACTTTCCAACAATAACATTATGCCTGCGGTGCCTGCCAAGTTTGCAGTATCTATGCGTCCGGAAGCCTCCGAGAGCAGCAGCAGACAAAGCACCACCAGTGCACTTCAACGCCCTATAATTTCTCATCCACCTGTGCCCGAAAGCGCCTCGACCCGTCTAGCAGTGGACAATGCACGTACGGATTGGGGCCATGATGCCACCGTTGCGAATCCGCATGGAAAGCCGGTCGAATTCTGACTTTTTCCCAAGGATGCCCAGGGATGCCCAGGCCTAATTATAAGGCAGGACTCGACTGATGACTTCTAAGCTCTGCCAAGCGGTCGGTGGATGAGAGTGGCGATGAGGGACGCCAAAGTCACGCATTCAGTGCACTCCGGACGTTCATCTTGTGTGCACATTTTATCTTTAGCATGGCCTTGGCGCCGCATGGCCACAGGAGTTGATGCTAACCAAGCTTGCTGGTCTGCTGGACCGGGGGGAGTGCGCTCCCACACTTCGTTCCCCCCAACACCTCACCAAGCAAGTCGCAAGCGAGGTACTCACACCTTGGACCCAGAAGAGGAAGAAAGACAAGCAAGCGGTGACCTGAAGCTTGGGCAGCACAAACAATTCTTTTCAGGGCTATTCTGCAACTACGGTGCCCTGACGTTCTCACAGGCCCTCGAAGCATGCTTTTGCATGTTTGCTGTTATGAATGGCCAAGCTGACATCGGGCAACTGCGTAAGGTGACTCTGAAGCATTCCTCAGCTAAGGCGTGGGACAACACCGCAGACTCTAGACTGTAGATGCATGCAATTGGAGAAATTCGTTTCACATGCGTAAATGATGCTATGCGTGCGAATCAGCCGCAAAGCTATGGCCACGAAGTGGCTATCAAAGGTGCGATATGCAGGCATGCAGCGTGGCATGCAACAGTCGGCCGCAGTTGTCCATCATCCCTAGAAAGAGCAGATGCGCTGGTTCGTTCTTGGCCACAGAAGCCCAACAATGTCCCGAAGACATGATCACATGTAATAGTATCCAAACACCTTCGTGTATGTTGGCAGAGGATATGGTGACCTGCATTTAAGATGTACAGAGCTGCAGGTACCGAAAAAGTGCGCCTGTCGAAGCATGAAAGAGTGGCCTGATGCAGACTATGTTCTTCATGGCATTTGGAGCTGATTGTCTCCTAAATCCTGGTTGCAGCTGTCTTGCTCTCTATCAGACATCCTTGAACCATCTTGAATCGACGTTGACACCCAAGTCAGGACTGCTTCACAGTACATGCTACTTCAGTACTGCCAGTAGGAGGTGAGCAAAGTCCCGTGCTTCATGTCCTTAGACCATGCCGGTGGTTTGTACAGTCTCCTCAAGGCTGGTGAGGGTTAGATTTGGGATGATTTGGGTGAGGATCCTTCATTGCTCCCGACAGTCTCCAGCCACGGATTCAAGACATCATGCCGATAACAGTCTTCACCGCATGTCTCAATTTGTTCTCATGTCTTAAAGCAAGACAGCTGTATGTTGTTGGTTCGAAGCATCGTTCAGCCGTGCAGGTACCCGAACTGCGATGTGAAGTTCGTCGTCGAGGTCTTGATCCAGTTGGTGCTCCTAGATTACATGCTTCAGTGGCAGTATGATCCACCACGCAAATGTATGGAATCTGCTTTCAGCCTTCCAAATCCTTCCAGCCTTTGCCATGAATAGATGGTGTCTGCGAAGGCCTGCCACGAATGCAAGGCATCCTGATTTCTGGGTTTTGATCACTGACGCCCTGAAGCTTTGAACCTTACTGTAATTGAAACCTGGAGCCCTAAAGCGCAACCTCAAGCCTGACAATGCCCGAATTATTCGTAGGCTCTCTTGCATGCCCTCTACTGCATCCCCTTAATCCAGTCATATCGTGGGTTTCTTTTCCCATGAAGCTTGTTGCAGGTACGCGAAAGGAGCTCACTCAGCGTTTGATAGCCCATGATTGGCAGACTGGTGCCTTCCCCAGTCGCATCCAGTCGTCAGTTTGCCACCCGAGAGAGTCTAGACAACTTTGGACTCTGGAGTCTGTGGAGTAATGCAAATTTGATTGGTGCTGATGTCGCGCTTCCCGAGGAGAGCAATCGGACCTAGTAGCGACCGAGACGAGAAGGCCTTAGAAGAACACATCGTTCTTTTCGTTTTCAATTGGTCCAGCTTGCTATGGTTCTCAGATACATTTGTGCATTCAGGTGTCAGCGGGTTGCAGACATTCCTTCCGCGCCCACGAGTCCCACAATCCGGCAGACCAAAAGGCACGATGCCCACGAGCTTTCAACGTGACTTCCGAAGTTCTGTGTGAAGGCGAAGAAAGCAGACAAGCAATGCTGCAAAGATCCGGGCTTAGCTCATTGCTGTTCCATGCAACCGTTCACCGGGTGTTCATGAGGTGGTCAGGTTTTGTTCCGCGGCCAGCATGTGCATAGTCCCCTCCTGGCGTTTCTAAATCGCTCCTCGCGCAATGCTCTTGAAAGCCACGCAAAATTGCCTTTGGAAAGGGCTCGACGGACATTTTCCTCTTTCAGCCGGCAAACTCGCCCTCATAGAGGGAGTCCCTACTACACTTCCTATTTTTGCGGAAGCATTGTTGGCTGAACTGTCGCGGAGATCAAGAAGGCAACAAATCATCAGCACAAACATGCTTAAGACAGAAGTTCCCCGTCTAAGTGGTATCGAAATGAGGGAGAAGGGAAAACAGACAGGCAGAAAGAGTCACAAAAAGAAAGAACGAAAGAATAAAGCAACCTTCAATTAAAGATAGAACGACATAATATAAAGGCAGAAATGATTTCACGAAAGAAAAGGAGTAACACCAGAAGTGAAGTAAGAAAGGAAGAAGCAACGCCACAAAAAAAGACCGAACAAAACACAACCATGATAAGCCAGAGCGAGAGAGAAGGAAACACAGAAAGTACAGCAACAACAACAACAACAACAACAACTACTACTACTACTACTACTACTACTACTACTACTACTACTACTACTACTACTACTACTACTACTAGTACTAGTACTAGTACTAGTACTAGTACTAGTACTAGTACTAGTACTAGTACTACTACTACTACTACTACTACTACTACTACTACTACTACTACTACTACTACTACTACTACTACTACTACTACTACGTACTACTACTACTACTACTACTACTACTACTACTACTACTACTACTACTACTACTACTACTACTACTACTTATACTACTTATACTACTTACTACTACTGCTGCTGCTACTACTACGACGACGACTATTACTACTACTACGACGACGACGACTACTACTGCTACTGCCTACGACTACAACTTCGACTACGACTACCACTACGACTACCACTATGACTACCATCACGACTACGACGACGACGACCACTACTCCTCCTACGAGTACGCCTTCGATTTCGATTACGACTACGACTACGATCAGTACTGTGATAGTTTCTACTACTAGTGATTTTACTATCATACTACAAGACTACTTGTCATGTAGCACCCTTATGCTCTATTGACACTGCCTCGTGCTATTTCCAATGTTTCGAATGCTTCCCTTACATTGGAGATATGTCTAAAAGACTCTAACTTTGAATGCTGCCATTCAAAAGCAGTCGAAAATATGCACTCGTGATTAGTGAAACTCGTTTCGACAGTGTGCCAGCTCGTCCTCTCGGATCTCGCTAAATCATCGAAGGTGTTTTAGGTTTTGCTCGAAAACAGTTGTGCGCTAGTACACTATACACTGCATGTATGCTCTGTGCATGTATGAAATTGCAGCGCCCCCGTCTTGATGCGCAAGCGTGCTGTCATGTTGCGGGGGCCAAAGCTAAAAGGTGGCAATTTCAAAGTGTTTCGGCGAAACCACTGTTAGCGTCTTGGGACCTTAGGGCCCCTTGAGCATGATTGGCCATTTTCGAATGCGGGCGTACTGACTGAGATCGCCGGCCGAGTCTGCCTTGTCGGCCACCACCGGTCCGTGCCTGTGCTGGTGACCTGCCATGACCTGCCTGCAGTTGCACAAGCTGACACGCAGTCCGCGCTCAAAGACAATATTCGGCCTTGTCATGCTGTCGTCCACGCGGACCAAGACGCGGACGCATGTGAGATCTCTCCAAGAAATCCGTTTACCTTTGAAGAAGACTCGTATCTTGAGTTTTCTCTCCTTGTTGGTGGGTCCACAACTTCTCATGACTACCGCGTTGAGCATCTCGGTGTTGGCAGGCCCTTGGCTGCATGGGCTGTCGGATAACAAAAGTGCTCTGTAACATAAGTATTCCATAATATACCCTTCTGCATGAGCTTCATAGTGTATACGTTGGATGCGTCGTAAGTGGGTGCTTTTCTTGCCGAGGAGTCGGTCATAGTTCTGGTATGATAGAGTTGCCAGCAGCTTCCCGGCCAGCTTTCGCTTTTTCCATGCTTCTTCCAGCATATGGAACCATTTGTTTCAAAGATCTCTCCGTCTCTGTATCCGCTTGTGCACCTCTCAGAGTTAATCGGCGTGACGCGATCGTTTCTGTGGGACTCCGGCAAAGCATCCCCACCGCGCGTCGCATCTCGAACGTTACTTCTGATCCCTCATGCGCTGTGCGAATTTTAGCATGGTCGCTTTGTGCTTTTGTCCAGCATTAATAATTCGACCTTATTGCGGCTCAGATGCATGAGCCGAGCGCGGCGTGAGACGCGGCGCATGCACAGCATGCAGCAACCGTGATGGCATCCGTGTGGGTCACGGATTTAAAAAAACGCCGTTCCGGCGCAGCGAGTCAGCAGGACGTGAACAAACCAGGCTCAAGAGCCGTTAGTCGGCTGGCAGCAGATATGGCGGTGGCTGACGAATGAGTAGTAGAGTTTTTTTACCACATGGAAGGTTCAGTCGGTATCCTCAGCTTTGGGAGTGGCAGCGTGGCAGCGCAAGGGCAGCTTCGATGTTTGAAACCCAGGAACAAGCAACGCAATATTCACTCCTGCCTGGTCTTCTTGTTGCAAAACAAGGCAAGCAAACACATGTTTCCCTGCCTGTGTTTTTTTTTTTAATTGTTTTGTTGCTGCGTCTAGGTCAGTGGCGCTTTGGGACTGCGCTACGAGGACATGGTCCACAGGCACCGAATAGAACGGCACCAACCGTCTATCTTTATTGCAGGCTATTCAACTATGCCTACATGCAACATCTGCGCAGCAGAACACAGATTGTTGTCAGGCTACACTGCAAGCTTCCCCAAGACCTGGGAAAGGAAGGGACGCTTCCCTTCGCTAAGAGGCCAAGCCATAGACCTGGGCATGTCCGAAGTGCATTGAATCTCTGGGTGCGTACCACAGGCCTGCCAGCAAGACATCTGGGACGGAAACTTTCTCGGAGGATGCTGTCCAGTGTTCAAGCAGCGGTCCTGCAGAAGCCCTGGAAGCTGCGTGGGCTGGTATACAAGGGGCTGGGTCAGCCTCCATACCAGCGGCTCCAACGATCAGCGACGACATGTCAGACTGCATGGACGAGAGTGAATTGGCCGAGTCTTTGAAGATGCTGGGCAGCGGTGCTTGTGGCAGCGACTCAGCATCAGCACAGCAGGACCCCGACTGTTTTTAATTAAAAACAGTCTGCAGCGATCATGTGTTCCAGGTGTCACTGGAACCCGCTATGTGTTTGATGTTTATGATCCCTTGAATCTTCTTGCCAATCGCTATTTGGCACGAGGTACGACAAGCCAGTAGGCGAAAGCGCTTACCGAAGAAAACGATCCTTGAGGGTTGAGTGCCTCTCAGTAGTTTGTGGCTTTGATAGCAGCGCTCGAGGCATTCCCCTTAGTGGAATCTCCATGGCAAATAATGGTGATGCTTGGCAAATGCCAAACCCTGGATTGGGGCACAACGGGAGTTTCCAAACTGCCGCAGATTTCCATCAACAACAGCAGCAGCATGCGATGCAATATGCTCCACCTCCGAATGCACCCTGGATGCAAACTGCTGACATTGCTCAATTGACCGTTAGCTTTGGACAGTTTTTGCAGCAACAGCAAGCATCCCAGCAGCAACTTCTCGGAGAATTATCTGGTCACCTCGCACAGCTTGCTCAGTCTAATGCACGCGATGTTCGGCCCAGACGTGATGAACAAGTTCCACCCGCTATGGATGGACACCCAGATCAGCTCCTCAAAAATTTCGACCTCCAGATCCAACAAATCTTGAAGAAGTTGAGCAGGGAATGGGAACGACGTGTCGCGAAGCTATTCTCTCAAAAATCCCTGGAGAAGAAGTACGAAGAGCTAGATCGCAGCCACAACATGCATCGTGACTTCAAAACGGAAGCAGACAAGCCATGGCAGTTTGCCAATGATTACCCTTCCATTGCCACTCCGAGTGAATTGGAGTTGGCTAACATGGATTCCGATGCAATGACAGATGGGCGTTACGACATCCATAGGGCTTGGCAGCAAATGCGACAGCGCCATGCATTGGAATGTTGGAAGTTCGTGCAACAGCACCAAAAACGATATCTGCAGCATTTGGAGAAAACCACCAGCCGTCAACATTTCCATCAAGAAGCATCGGATTCTGTGACTTCATTCATGCTTTCTTTACCAGCGTTTTACACCGAGGCTGATCGTGCCAGGATTGTGGGTAAGATCCAGGCATGGACTGACCTTTTCAGTCGCCACACCCTCGGTGCTTACAGTTCCCGTCATCGAGCGCAGGAAGAAAAGGCTGTGAACAGACAGAAGCAACTCGACGATGCCCAAGCTCGCTATGAAGCCATGGACCCGCGGACATTCCAGGTAGCCTTGGCACTCGAGGCCCAGAATGTCAAGCGGAAGCAGGATCACAAGGGACACAGCATGAAACCAGGACCCAAAGTGACCGTGCATCAGCAATCAGCTCTAGGCAGTGTTCTGGCAAAAAATCCGGATCTTGCGGATGAGTATAACTTGCAAGTCAAGGCGAATCGTGGTGCTCGCGGCAGCTTAGGACAACAAGAACGGCGAACCACATCTCAGCAAAGTCGCGCAGGAAGAAGCCGAAGTGCGTCATACATGTCAGCTCGCTCTTCGGCGTCACGGCATTCTTCTCGAAAGTCATCCAAAAGTATTCGATTCTCCAGAACGCCGTCGCAGTCCTCCAGGAAAACTCACAGGAAGACTCCACGAGCTCGGAGTACAAGTCGCTCGCAGCATTTTGGTCATTCACATCATGGTCAAAAGCCAAAAAACGGCAAAGGCCAGCCTCGGGGCCGAAGCCGAGGCACAGGCTCCAAGCCCAAAGGCAAGGGCAAAGCCAAAGGTGGCAGCAGAGGACGGCAGTGAAGCGTTTTACAAGCGGTGGCAACAAACATCGTTCCAGAAGACGAAGCTTTTGGAATCCAGATGATACCATCGATTTTTGGAAGTTCCTTTTTGTACAGTCCCAGAGGACGACTATGAAGCAGCTGGCATTAAAGCCGGCGCTTGACAGCGTTCACTATGTGCATGTTTCAAAGTCTGCTGTTCCTGCATTTGTACACAACCTCGCCGCCAAGAGCTCTAAATTCATTCCAGACGCAAAACCCAACACCATCCGACAAGTTATGGCCTCTTTCGACTCGTTTATGAGGTCGATGATTCTGGCTCACTTTTTCTCCGGGAAACGCGAGAGCGATGACAACAAGACCCGCAAGACTAGCCGCGGCAACAAATCTTGGCTTCCAAAGCTGGACGATGACATGACTTCCAGGTTTGACATCTACAGAAGATTGACGAAAGCTGAGATTCTTGATTCGTGGCCAAGTTGTCGCAGTATCGTAAAGAACTTCACTCGTTTGGATATTAAAGCAGTGCGCTGGCTTGAAGCGCATGCGTCTGCAACAAAAATCGTCGACACTGACAAGAACTTGGGAAATGCAATTGTTTCAGCTCCATGGATTGATGCACAGTGCCGCAAGTGGCTGGCCAAATCCATGAAACCGATTGCTATGGGCGACATGGGTACCAGAATGGCTCTCATGAAAAGTCGGTTACAGCGCATGGTTGACAAGGCCAGTTCGGCATGCTCCATCACCAAACAGCAGGCCCAGTTCTTGCTCGCGCAGTTGCAGTCTGATGCAGTGCCGGCATTCCGCATCAACGTTAAGATCCATAAAACACCAGTGGATAGCAGGCCTATTTGCAACAACAGCAGGTTCTGTCTGTGCAATGCAGGCATTTTCCTCAGTGCTTATCTCAGGGATCTGGTGGTGCGGTGCCCGAATGTCATCACCTCACATTTGGCCGTCATAAATTGGGCGGAATCTTACAAACCTGGCCCAAATGATCGGCTGGTCGTGTTTGACATTGTTGCCTTGTATCCAAACTTACCGGTTTGGGCTGATGGTAGTGGTCATTCGCTATATGAGATTGTCAGTGGGCGCATCTGGCAGTTCTATGGCATCGCTGACCCGAACCTAGCTCTACTGTTGGATTCTATTTTGCATGTGATTCTTAGCAACCAGTTCGTGCAGTATGATGGAATCCAGTACGAGGCATGGCAAGGCTTGAACACTGGCCTCCACGCCGCTTCAGAACTCGCGAATGTTTTCTTGAGCGTGTTCGACCTTCATGTGGTTTCCATGCTCGACAAAGTTTGCAAGTTCTATGCCAGATTCATCGATGACGGTTTGCTTTGCATTGACATGTCGACAACCGATGATATTTCCATCTTCAGCATCCTCAACGGCTGGAACAGACACATTCAAACAGATCCTGTGACCAGTAGTTGCACTCAACATTTCTTGGACGTGCAACTCACGCTAAGATTGCAGGACGGTGATGTCCCCGCCGAGGTTGACTACCAGCTTTACCGGAAGCCTCCCAACATTTACAACTACATCCCTGCAAATAGCGACCATCCGATTTCGGTATGCCGGTCTATTGTGCACACAGAAGCTGTACGACTCTTGCGAACAAACAAGCGACACGAAACATTTGACATCCAGCGTTCGCTTTTTGCTCGCTTGCTTGGTCGTCGTGGGCATTCTCAAAGCACGATTTGGTCAATCCTGCACCGGTATCCGTTTGTTGACAAAGAAAACATTCTGTCGAGATTGCAGCGTAAGAAGTCCGGTCAAGTTCGGAAGTGCGTGTTGAAGATTCGGCATGCAAAATGTCAAAGAATACCGTTGATGCCTGCTTTGAAAAAGCATTTGCACCTCATCTCAAGGGGTTCATTCAACGTACAGCCGGTGATTGCTAAAAGCAATGGCCCGAATCTGTTTCGCCATCTATACAGATACACTTGGCGACATACAGGCTAACGGGAGGGATGGTGGGAGCCTGTTTTTAATTAAAAACAGTCTGCAGCGATCATGTGTTCCAGGTGTCACTGGAACCCGCTATGTGTTTGATGTTTATGATCCCTTGAATCTTCTTGCCAATCGCTATTTGGCACGAGGTACGACAAGCCAGTAGGCGAAAGCGCTTACCGAAGAAAACGATCCTTGAGGGTTGAGTGCCTCTCAGTAGTTTGTGCTTGTGGCAGCGACTCAGCATCAGCACAGCAGGACCCCGATGGCCAAGACTTGTCTTCACTCTTCGCAGCAACTCAACTAGGAGTAGGATCCTGGATGAGCATGTGCCGCACGTGTATGTAGCGTCGTTGTTGCTGGACTCTTGGAGGAGCCAGCACCGTCAATGACTATCAGCATTCAAGACGACAAAGACCACAAAGATGCTGGCAGCGGCAGCCTCCATGAAGCCGGAATTGACTTGGCTGAAGACGAGCTACGACAGGCTGGGTCTCTGAAATGGTCACTGCTCCGTGTGGCCTCGGCTGCCTAACCATAGGGTGCCGACTGCGTGGGACGTTTAGGAATTTAGGAGGTTTCATAAGCCATAGACCTGGACGAACTCCTGAACATTCCGAACACGAGTGAGACCCCGGCGTTTGCCGCATTGAGGCCATGCAGAAGCTCCTGACACCAAAAGACTCAGAAGAGTGGCAAGAGCAGGCGCAGAAGGAAACAGGGACCAGGTCCCAAGGTTGGGTGTGGCTTCACATTTCGTCCCGAGTCCCGAGCAGGAGCAAAGCGAGACCAAAGAACTTCATGACCAAGAGCCCAGTGGGCCCCATGGACCCCATGGGCCCCATGGGCCCCAAGCCGAAGAGACGCAGGTGCATCCGGAGCTCGTCAATGCCAAGCCCTCTAAACAGCCTCAGTCTTCGAGGGTCTCTGAATCACTGAATGCCTTAGGGCCTTAGGGGCTAGCTTGGAGAGTTGCTCCTGTGGACGCAATCGGTCGCCACAATGTGAAGCATAGATCGAAATGAGGTTCAGCGTTTAAAATTGGAATGATGTCTCTTCAAGATGAGGAATTATTTCGCATTCTTGGATTGTTTTGGGACTGGCACATCACCGACGACACGTGAAATCGTCAGATCTCGGCCGCTTCGGGGACACTACCATCCTAGCATCTGGCAGCTTCAGCTCCCTAGCAGTGTTTAGCAGCCTTATGATCTCAACGGCCGTTGAAAGAAGTTGAAAAAATCAACGGGCGTTCGATGTCTGGAATCTCCAGTCAGTGCTGAAGCTCTTAGTGTCATAACGCGACATTTTGGAATCGGGAAGCGTGCTGATGGTATGCCACGAGGTCGGAGTATGTCTTAAAGGTCCGAAAGCCAACTGCTTGGGCAGTCACTTGTTTGTTTTCGGCACCGTATTTTCCGAGGGGCTTGAGTCAAGCAACATGTGTCAACGCTCGGTTGCTGAGCATGCTGCGCTTCTGCCCCTGCGGGTGGCAGGCGCTCAACTTGGCGCTTGATCCTGAAGTTGAGACCCTCAAGAGTCAGGCCTGGCAAGTCTTCCCGTCATCCATGCCAAGATGAGAAGTTCTTCAGGTTCAGGAGGCGATGAAAAGAACAGCACAAGCCCAGGCTCACGTGTGGCCATGCTAGGACCACTGATAGCCGCCTGGTGCGACTTGTGAGCGGTACTTAACATGACCTTGAATTGCAATGTCTTGCCAGATGCATCTGCGCCGCAAGAAAGCTGAAGAGATTCTACTCAGCGCGACATGCCCCCAGTCATTCGGTAGGACTGAGCATGACTGATTGAGATCTGCGATAGGGAGATGACAGAGAGGCTGCACAACCATTGGCATTTTAAATGCCTTTTTGCTAGCGACTGGTGGTACTGAGGCTGGTGAAGCACTGCGAGGCTGCATGCAAGGTTTACAGCCAAGCGCTTGACAGGTCCGGGTCCACAGGCAAACTGACACCATGGCCTGTGACACCTTTCACAGCCCGTCACAGCCTGTCGCATCCTGTCACAGGTCCGACTTGCCGTGAGCAAGTAGCCTTCTGCGACATGAGAAAAAGGCTTTTTCAGCTTCATGAATCGGTACCTAGCAAACCTCCCACCGTTCGCCTCAAGCTGTAGCATGATTTCTTACCAGCACCGCGCATGACATGCAAGAAGCAGGTATCTGCAAGATGGTAGTTGCTGCAGCATCTGCAAACTTCGAAGTGCAGCTGCTGAATGATATATGCGCATCAGACTTTGAAGAACCCCACGGCCCCAGAGTGGTTAACTTGCTACACTTCGGCATGCATGCCGGCGTGATTCAAATGACCAGCTCACGGTGACTTAGGCGCTGTGCTATTGTTTAGTGGCTGTGCCGCTGTCCATGTCACAGGGAAGCCATCCCTTTAGTCGGCATCATGCTGGTGTTTGCTGTTGCGGCTGTGAGCAGCATTTGTGAAGGTTTGCCACGAATGCTGCATGAGCAGAGTGAGCAGAGTGGCAAGTTCGCCATATGCTTAGCTATTCTTTGATGGGCTTGATGCGGATACGCAGCTAGCTATAAAGTTAGCTTCGACACTGATGTCATCGCATCTGAAAACCCCTGACTCTCTTTATATGGTGTCTTTTTGGCAGCTTATCGCTTCGCTTGTAATCCTTACGACTACGATTTCTTCGCGCATCCTCCTGCTGACTGCTTCCACAATGACTCCCACACTCCTTCCTATGCGTTTGTATCCTTGCCGTGGCTTTGACAGCTTCTGCTGTGGATCGCTCCGAGGCTAGCAGCGGAAGAGAGATCATCCACATTCAGGCCTAGAACGTCTTAAAGCAGCCCTTCTAGCGCCCGCAAGTTACTGGGCCGGCTACTTTCAGTCGTGCTTAACAGAAGCCAAACTCCAGCTCTTCAGCAGCTCTTTTTCTCTTGCAGCTGCCACATGTCAGAAGCACAGGTGGGCAAAGCTGGCAACGCAATTGGGAATGTGTTTTGGAAGACACTATGCCAGGAGATGCTTTGATCGCTCAGCGCTGCCACTTTGTTTCATGGTCAGGTCAATGTTGACGACTGTCTTTCTCAATCGTGGAAGGAACACGGTGTCAACACTGACACAAAGGATGACAACATGAAAGGCTGCTTGATGGATGACGGCTGCATGTCAGCATCGAAGGGTGTTCTGAAAAAGAGAGAGCGAAAGAGATCATCAAAATTAAAATGATTGCATTCATGGGTTTGGGCGGTGCATTTTCATGTGTTCGATTTACGCAAGTAGAACCACTAAAGCCCAATGGTGGCGCCAGCTCCGCGCCAGGTAAGCTAAACAAAAGCAATTTCTTCATGTTGCACTGTCTGTAGTAGGGGGCCCCCACCCTCCCTCCCAAACAAATCTGGGACCCTCTGTAAAGAAGTTCCCCCGGAAGCCCCCCAAACAAGTTTAAGGGGGGGAACCATCCTAAAGCCTTCTTAGATCGAACCGGCCAAACTTAGCTTCCAGGATTCTCCGGGTTTGGCTCTGTACGATTCCTGGAGCCCAAGAGGCCTTGAGTGCCTCAAGCCTTAAAAGCCTCAAGGCCTGAAACATTCCTGTCCTGCTAAGGGCCCCCAGCCGGAGCTGGGTCTTATAGAGGGTGACCCAGACAAACCTGTTAAAGACAGTCCGGCTGGCCCTTGGGCTACTTGTGGGGCCCGCAAGGCTTTAGATTTAGATGGAAGCCAAGCTTAGCTGCCTGCCTCAGGAGTCAGAGAAACCGGAAACCCTTAACCCTCAAACCTATGGACAAACCTTAACCACAAGCCCGTAAAACATCCCCAAAGAAACAAGTGTGGTTATAGCCGGAGACCCCAAACTGAGTTCGCCGAATGTTTTTTGAAAATTTGTGGTTTCAGACCCTAGCTTTACTAAAGCCATCTGAAGCCAGAGCAACATGATTTATTTCAGAATTAGCACTTGTCTCAAAAGGCGCTGCGTGCACCTAACAGATGTCTCAAAACAGTGGGGAGTGAACGTCAATTTCAGAAACTTCTTTGGCGAATTTTGATAAAGTCCACATGCCAGATAGGCGAATGCTGCGAGCGCTTCAGTTTTTGGACCCAACCGCTTTTTAAGGCGGTTTAGCTAGCTGCGTCTACGCTGAAGTATAAACTATGTCTGGTCTTTCGCAGGGAATCCAACCACCCTCTCTTCCCCGAGTGAGCCGAGGTGAGAGCAAGGCTGGGCGCAACGCTTCCTCCTTGTCTGAGGGCACATGCTGAAAGATTGGGTTCAGTGTACCAGCACTTGCCAGGGCCCAAAAGGCTACATTGACGTTTTCTTCAATGAGGGCAGAGCCATGGACAGGAAAGTCAGATACGTTCCATCCCCGGACGTTGCGAAGATCATGTGTTCATATGCAATCAGTCGCGAGGAAGCTGTTGATGCACGTTATTGCACGCTTAAGGGGGGTTTAGCACGGCTGGTGGGAGTTCCGAATATGTTGAGGCGCTGCTCACGAGGCAAGAACGGAAAACCATCAAACAGTACATGCCGTTAAGAAACTGTCCATGTAACTGTTGAGGAGAGGGATTGGCTAGCAGGCTAGCACATGTATGATGTCTTCTTTAGAGTTACTCAGTTCGCAACCATGCACCACCCACCGACAATCCTTTGCAGTCAAGGCAAGCAGGCACTTCCCAAATTGGTTGACTCGATGTGACGATGTGTCGAAGTGTTCCTTTGAGACTTGCGAGCCTCCCAGTAAGAATAGAGCCTGAAAGTTCCCAGAAGTGGCCCACAAAAAATCTGTGTGACGGTCCGACGTTCCACAGAGGTGCCTCGGGCCATACTTCTGGACACCAACATGGGGGATTTGGCGACCATTGCAGAGGCAGGGGATGAGAGAATGAGTGGATGAGTGGGGGCGGCTTCAGCCACGGCTGCAAACATTTGCCAAACATGCACAACATTGCCAGGACAGTGCGGTTGGTGACCTCTACAGGCTGGTACACGGCTCCGACGTTTTGGGTATCAACGCTCGACTGGAATATGTTTTCTCGTGGCCGACCTTATGACACGTCCACAGATTCTACGGGAAGTTTTAGACTTTGTCAACCTGCAGTCTGCAGGCCAGAAGACATCATCGGCAATGACGAGTCTTCAGGCAACTGCTATGCCAAGGCCAGCTGGCATAGCGGACACACTCGTTCTTCCTTGTGGATTCCACCCCGATCCCTCTGCCCACCTGCTGATCAGGCAAGTTTATCCTTCACTTAGGTGTTTTCACGGGCAAGATGGATGGTCATATTCGCTGGGAAACAGTCATGGTGTTTGAAGAACAGTCGGGCGCGGTCCACGGGAGCTTCATGAAAGTTAATGTAGCCTGCGCGCTGAAGCCGAAGAGTGAGTCCAGCGACATATGTAAATTGGGGCCGAACAAATCGACAAGCAAGGCAAGCCTGCCCAGCCCCTGACCTCACGTCGCAGACCTCGCAATGGCGTTCTCAGCATGAAAAGGGGCTGCAAGTTTCATCTTGCAAATAACGATGTGTGTGTGTGTACGCGCGTGCGCGTTTCTACGAGCAGAGCCGTGATTAATCTTGGATGTGTCCTGTGATGTTTAGGAAGGCTGTATAAGGCTGTATATCACACTTGACGGCATTTCTAGTATCCCCGAAGTCATTTACATGTCCTTCAAAGAAAAGATTTCCAAAAAGGACACATTGAGAGAGCTGAGATGTTCGCAGCAAAGCTCAGCCACAGTGCTGGCATGCTGATCTGGGTTTTGTAGATGGGCTTTGTAGAGCTCTGCTGCCACCAACATCCCCGGCATCAATTTGTTTATTGTTCCGTCAAGAGATGTTGTCCTTATGGAGCGGCTTTGGACCTTTTCTCGTTCGGAATCATGGAGCTCGAGTAAGGCTTGGAACCATTTTGAAAGAACTGTGTGTGTGTGTGTGTGTGTGTGTGAAGGGCCTTCCTCGTGCAGATATCAGCGGGTTTCATTTCGGATTATGTGCCCCCTGTTGGAGTGAAAGAGGCTGCATCCACGCAGGCATTCCACACTGAGGGGCCAGATCTGGCAGACCGATGCTTGGAGATGGTTCGGAAGGAGGCAACTGGGGCAATGCCGTGTTTTTCTGTGCTTGCACGTTCGGTTTCATGTAACTTTGCCGCAGGTGGAGAAATGCAATTGCCTACAAGGGGTGGTGGTCTCAGTTCCCGGAAGACCAACGAACCGGTCACATGTGCACTAGACCTTTCCGACTGGTCTTCATTCGACATTCATCAGCTCAAAGAACTGTAAAGTGTGACTATAAGGACAATCACAATAGCAACCAGGACCAGCAACAGCCACAGCCACAGCAACAGCAATGCGAGCGAGCTCTGCTCATGGTGGGCGAATCTGAAACTTCCGAATTGGCTTGCCCCGCCCATAGCTGCTAGAATACGCATGGACAAAGGCCGTACCTCCGACTTCGAAGCAAGTAGCAGACCCCACTCGCAACAATCCACATGTTTTCATCGAGACATGAATTGACAACCTTTCCGTCAAGCCCGAAGTCTTGTCGGCCGCCTACCGCAGACGATCAGGAGGGGGCAGAGTGGGCCAGATTCAGAGTTCAATAAATACAAGAATGACATTAAAAAAAAAAAAAAATATATATATAATGTATTCAATTGTATTCATATGTTCGGCCTCTTTTTCAAAAGGATGGTTTCAGGACAGCCGAAGGCCCGCTGATTATCGACATTCACGAGCTCGAAGCAAAGCACCACAGGCAGAGAATGACGCAGACGCACACAGCATCTCCAGGACTGAACCTCAACCGGACCATACGTAGTAAAGCGTCTGCACCTTTCTGCACGCATGCGATTTGATTGGCTGTTGTGCAGTATGTGCGAAGAGGAGAGAATACCTTCGATTTTGAAATACCCAAACTCAACAGCTTTGAGTTGCGTGTTTTTTTTTGCGGAGGTCATGCGATTAAGAGAGCGGAGCATGTAGAATACAAGTTTCCAAGCACGTTGTTGTGTCCAAACGCCGCACATCCAATCACTGACATCAAGGGCTGTTTTGTGCGTGCCGCTGCCAGGTGCAGTTCTGCCATTCTGCGTCTGGCGGTACTGGCACGGGGTGATTCTGACAAAAAGTTTGGGCGGCTTCGAGTGCGCTTTTTTGTTGGCAAGCTGCGCTGCATTCTTGTGACTGGCACTTGGCTTTGCTTATTGTGGTGTTCACTTGTCGATTGATTTAACATGCTCATTAGTTTGGACTGGTTCTGGTACTTGGACATACCTGGACCTTTAACTTGTTGACATGTATTCGAATTGGCAACGCATGCCAGGCTGACGGGCCTTGTGCTGAAGACACTTCGAGATTATTTGGACAAGCAGAGCGCTGCCCTGTCCTTGGCCATGCAAGATGTTTTGTCTTGCAGTGGTTGCTCTGCTGCGGCGAAGGTCATGCAATCGTTTGTCTTGGTTCCTCTCTCGGCAATTGTTGGTAGTGGGCCAACAATTCTTAACCAGCTGCTCTGCGAATCTGACTCTGAGGCTCCGGCTCCCGGAATATCGGATGTGGTTCTTGAGCCGTACAATGCGTAGGACTCCTACTGCCTCGATGTGCCGTGAGAGAGTCATGCTGCAGTATTAATGGATACAGGCCAGAGAAGAGAGGCTGAGGGAGAACCCCTCAACCATCAAGAAAGAGCCCAGAAACCAAGAGACGCAATCACCCACCAACAGAAATCCAATCAACCAGCGGATTCCCTGCCTTTGGCGCCACCGGGCCTTCAATCGGCAAGGGTTCCAATCTGACCGTGGCCAGGAGGTCCAACATAACTGTTTGGGCCCCATCCGTCAAGATAATGACATCTACCATACCGGATGGCACGTGGAGTCTTGTTGCTTGTGCAAAAGAGGTGTCTTTCATGTTTTTGCACGTCGTTTTTCACTGCCTTCCTGGAGTTACTTTTGTGTCAGCACCTCAACATAATATGTGCGTCGGGGGCTTGCCTGCATCCTGCATATGCCAACACGCACGCGTAGTTTTAATCAGCGTAGTTGGTTACCTACAGCACCTTCAGAAATGACGAGGGATGACGAGTGTTTGGTAACACGATGTCGTGTCACCGCGCAGCTCAGTGGCCTCTGGCACTCATTGGTGCACTGTTCCGCAGGTGTTTGTGCTTCCAGGACTTGCTGGAGTACACAGACCAGGTGCCCATTGCTAACACAGTGACACTGCAAAAACTCTCGGTGCGAACATGTCCAGGTCTTTCTCTTCGACAACAAAGCTCTGAGAGCCATGGCTGCACTGCAAAGGCAAGCTGTGCACACTTTCACTTGACGCAGCCGAGGCGAAATCTGCCAGAAAGCTTTGGAACAGGAGGGCAGCACCGCTTGCAGAAACGTGTTTCAAGTTTCCAGCCTGGACGTTTTAGGACATGCCAAAGATGGCCAATCTGAACGAGGTTATAGCACGGTGCATGTGCTTGCCTCAGCAGAAATTAGCGGAGACAACGGCAAGCAAGAAGGGTTGCTTCATGTTGCTTCCTGCAAGGTCCGGCATCACATCTTGCCTCAGATATACCGGTCCATTGAATGCAGATCTTCGAAAGCTGCAGGTAGCCGCCGTGGCTGCGTTTTTTTATGTGCGTTTTCTGATGACTACCTTTCCAGACCAACTTGGTGCCCTTCAAGAATGCGCACTTTCTCATCAACGGCCTTGCACCGCTGAACTCCAGCTCGGCTGGAAAGTTCCCCTCCACATCTCAATGCCGTGTGTCGGTCGAAGTGAGTTGCGACAAGTGACAAGATGACAAGACTGAATCCGAATCGTCCATGACTATGACTAGCAAGATCAGGTACAGACGAGCCAGTGTGCTGGACCTGACACAGCAAATGCTCTCCAAGGAGAGCTCGGACACGAGCGGTGGAAGGTCTTCGCAAAATTTGAAAACGAAGATGCCAGGACAATGTGACGGTAAAGTGTGACCCGCTCAACCCCGGTGACGAATTTCATGCCATCCTGGCGTGCCATTGTATTTTCTCTGCCAGCTTTGGGGCGCTTTCGGCCATTCCTGCCTCTGGTTCAGCTTGGCACAGCAATATTGTGAAATTCACTCCATCCACAGACTGGGGGCGCATCTAGGGAATGAATTAGGTATTTTGTTAGCGGTTTTTTTGCAAGCAGATGTGTGATCTTGTCGGTTCGGCACGCTAACATCCGTCTAGCCCCCAAAATCTCTTGTTTTCTAGGGTTCGATGGTTTTGGTAGGGGCAATAGCAAGAAAATGGCAAGACATTTTTAGCGAGACGCTTGCAAGAAACTAATCAGAAACTTCCTACAGATTTCGGCAAATTTTGTATCTACTGGTCGGAAGCTGCTTGCAATTTTCTCGCAATTTTTCTCTCAGTTTTCTGGCGAACATGTCTCTATTTATGTTTCATGATCTCTAGTCTGTACATGACCAGCGCCAGTCACAGCAGTAATCGTAGTGGCAGTGCCCATGGGTGCCAGCGGGCGCAAGGGCGGGCGCAATACTGCGCTTTTCGGGAGAGGAAGCTCAACGATCAATCCCGTACCATCTTTGGGTGTCCTCAGCTTAGATGACGTTTGTGTCCTTCACCCTGCGCGATACCCCTGCGCCAGTTTCGCGGAGAAGTCAAGAAGCGGAATGGGCGAAATGTCAATCGGAAAAGTGCCACAAGTTTGCAAACTGGCTTTGGATTATGCTGAAAGAGCTGGCGGAAAGATCGGCCACAACATCGTCTTGGGATTCTTCATCAGGAAGTGACTGTTACATCGCATGAGCCGCATAATCACATAATCCTTCACGCGCCATGCCAAGCCGGGGCCGTATAGCCTGGTTTTGCATGCCCCCATCTGCCTTCATGCCATGGGGGCCATGTGGAAACCAACCATTCATGTGCCAAGACAAGTTCAGCAAGCAAACTATTTTGCAAGTATACGACCCTGAATTCAGCATTTCGTTCTTCGGAGAGGCGATCGGGATGCAAGGGTCTGAGCGAGTTTGGCACTATGCATGGATATCAACGAAATAACAAAGCAAAGTGTAGCATCCTGTGCTGGGGAAGCCGAAGTAACAGACAATGACGAAGTCGCTTGTGCCAGGGTATGCTGAAGGCCCGCTTCCTTGCATCATGGACGTCATGGCGGCCCCGGCGGAAGTTTGAGAAGTTTTGTGATGTGCTTGTGATCGCTGGCCTGTGAAGTATGCAGCCCTAGGAAAGGCAAGTTCCAAACGAAGGAGGTGGACCAGGTAAGGAGTGCACGAACAAATGCCTATGCCAAGTCCTCCAAGTAACTTGTTTCCTGCTAGGCTTTGTACGAAATTCAAAAAGATGGATCCCGGTTGTGGCCGCAGAAATTCCGTTGAGCTCCATCCAGACCATCAAGAAGAAGAGTGTCAGGAAGCAGTTGCAGGTGCAAGTTGGTTTCAGAGAGACCTGCTGAAGTTAAGGTATGACAAGTTCTTCCCGGATTGGATTCCGAACTCTGTCGTCCGGGCTTCAGATTTGGATTGGGCGTTGCTCCGGCAGGCGCCGTACATCATTCGAAGGGGAGTTGCCATGTTGGAATGAGGATGTTTACATGACACAGTGTGACAAGAGAACCAATGAACTCTGTTGCTTAAGTGAGAGCTTTGGACAACTTGTTCATTCGAAATTCAAACTTGTTGGAACCCGGCTTCCGTCTGATGACAGCTTGGAGCTGGAGGCCGCCACAGAGAGAGAGAGAGAGAGAGAGAGAGAGAGAGCTCCTCCCCGGCCGGGGGAAGCCTCATAATCTCACCAAAGAGACAAACTGTGCGGACTGGGCGCGCCCGTGCGCGCGGAGGGCCTGCGGGTCCTTCAAGCCCTGTAAAAGAAGAAGAAGAAGAAGAAGAAGAAGAAGAAGAAGAAGAAGAAGAAGAAGAAGAAGAAGAAGAAGAAGAAGAAGAGAGCTTCGGTCCGGCACCCGAAGACTCGGGGTTTCAGCTACTACTTTCTGCTTTGCGATGCTCAGTTGGCCCATGCGGCTAGTCACGGCTAGTCATGGTCTCGTGTAATTAAGGGGTGGGGACTTTGCATGATCGGGGGAGAAGCCTGCACCAACAATGAAGTGCGCAACGGAGCTGGCAGATTTCGTGTCCGGCATGCCTCTTGGGGCGTCTCTACAAGAAGGGACGAAGGATGCGCCACAGAACACCATGGAACACCAGGCACGGCAAACAACGCGCCCTCATCGAGGAATCCACACCATCAGCCGGAAACAGACCGCAGGAAATATGCTGAAGCAGGATGCCCAAAGAAAGAGAGTTCGGCGAGAGAGAGTGGTCTCGCCGAAAAGCATGGTGGCGAAGATGGCGGGGCGGAGACAGCAGGTGCAGTTTTCGCATCATCTTTTTTGAGAATACTGCATCGTCCGATTTCTTTAGTCAGCGCTGTTTCAACGTCAGCACGCATTTGTTTTCCCGCCTTTGCCTCTGCTGGCTTTGCTTTGCATCCTCCGTTTGTACTTGCTGTCAGGAGGCGCCCTGAGGGCGTGGGGGGGGGGGGGGTGCGTTAAATGATGATCCATGGTTTCACGATATGCAACTCTTGTCGTGCATTATCCTTTGGGCATTTGCACTAATAACCATCTCCAGCCATCACGATTGGCCACCTGACGGAAAGAAATTGGACAAATCAGGCGTCAGGAGGCAGTGCTTCTAGCTTTTCGCAAGCTTTTTGCGTTGCGAAATCTTGTATGGCGAGCATAAGTTTTTTGGGGTGACCCCACGGACTGCCAAGTGCTCAAAGGCTTCGAACATCTCGGGCAGCAAGCACAAGGCACAGGTGGTGACGTTCGGCGATGTTGTGCTGCTTTTTGTGTGTACAGGAAAAGGAGAGAAGCGTGGTCTTCACGACAAACAATACAAGTGTTCACGAGGTGAGGAGACGTTAGCATTCCAGATCTCAACATGCTCAAATCCAGGAACGCTGTGCTGTGTTCAGGTTTTCGACAGATCCATCAAGAATTGGGACAGCACATACAAGTCCAGAGCTTTCGTGCACGTCTACGAGCAGGTCGAAGAGTCGATGTTGAACTGGGGTTCTGCAAAAAAAACATGCTGTTGGCATGCGCATGTGTATGTGCCTGGCTGTGCGCGTTGAGACTCTGTCTTTCAGGACGGCATCTCTGTGCAGGTGTTGGGCCTGTTGTGGAGCCGCGCTTTCGCCAGCATGTGCCTGTTCCTTGCCGCCGCTAAGGATCTCATGGAAAGCCGCAACATTGTGCAATACATCTCGGACGCGTGCGACCGTACTGGATTGCAGATTTCCATAGTATGTTTGACCGTTTTACCGATTGGCGTATTGGCCATCGGGCAAGTCAATTCAATGATGACAGGTACTGTGAGTTTGCTCGTTGGGAAGACAAGTTCTTCGAGGCGTCTCGAAGCAACGGGCGCCAGAAAATCTCCCGAACAATCCTGTTGGGAAGATGCTTCTGCCACGAGGATATGTCTGGCGGGCCCAAGCCTGTCATCCGTGAGCGAGCACGGGTCTTTGCAAGATTTTGCAAGGTCTCATTCTGCCAAAGCTGCTTGGCTGAAACGTGTGTGGCCAAGGCTATTGACAATGATGAGCAGCGGAGCATCGCTCAAGAGCTGAAGGTAACGCAGCTGTGTGTGTTGACACGTTGTTCTGAGATGTCACAGTCTTTGTTTGGCAGTGGCCTGTAGCTTCTTGAGGAGTATCAAACTGCCTACCAGTAGCCAAGAAGCATGGGATGAGAAAACGATACGGACTCCAGTCCGGACCTGCCGCTTCAAATGGCTGTAGCTTTCTCACCATTCATTCCTCTTGCAATCAATAGCCGGGTTTGCGGCGGTGGTGCCAGTGTCGTGGTGTGGTTGCGTGGTGGTGTGTGTTGCGGCGCCGGTGTATGGTGGTGCGTGACCAGCGTGCAGATGTGTGTGGTGGAGTGCGGCCTAAGGTGACGGTGGTGTGCCGTCCGTGTGGTGGCATTCGGTGGTGGTGCCAGGGGGCGCGTGGTGGTGCGTGGTGGTGGTGCGAAGTGGTGCGGTACGTGTGGTGGAGCGTGGAATCCGCTGCCTTGCCACGCAACCACAAAGCTTGAGCCCTGAAGCTACTTCCGAGGAGAGACTGGAGACACAGATTCATTCCATTGCTTCGTTGTCAACCCTCACAAAGAATGTCTAAAAAGACCCCTGGCGCACAACGACGCACCTCAGACATGGACTTTTCCAAACCGTGAAGGCACTGGCAGATGTCGCGTTTTTGAAAAGAAGCCATGCATTGTAACATGCTGTAGCGTGCTGCTGCAGCCAACAAAGTCAAGACCACAGCGCGGTGCTGCGCTGGCAGGTGTGGATAGAGCACAATTTCCCGTAGCAAGCCATTCACAGCTTGTAACCGCAGTGTGACCCTTGTTGTTGTTCTTGTTCTTGTTATTGTTCGTGTTCTTGTTCTTGTTCTTCTTCTTCTTCTTGTTGGTGGTGGGGGTGGTGGTGGTGGTGGTGGTGCTGCTGGTGCTGCTGCTGCTGCTGCTGCTGCTGCTGCTGCTGCTGCTGCTGCTGCTGCTGCTGCTGCTGCTGCTGGTGCTGCTGGTGCTGCTGGTGCTGCTGGTGCTGCTGGTGCTGCTGGTGCTGCTGGTGCTGCTGGTGCTGCTGGTGCTGCTGGTGCTGCTGGTGCTGCTGGTGGTGCTGGTGGTGGCGGTGGTGTGGTGGTGGTGGGGTCTACCCTAAGCCTAAACGGTCTGACTCCGAGAGCCAAAATAAACCTCAGCTAGCTAAATCTTGAATCCCCTAATCTTTTTAGAGCCCTTAGATTCATCAACGATAGCTCGCCCTAAACTTTGGGCCAAAGCTTTCAGCAACCTAGGGCCCTTGTCGTGCAGGTTCTTATTCCCCCAAGCACTGGTCAACTACATCCCAAACCCAAAGCTCAAGGCCAAACCACAAAAACACCTCCTGAACCCTGAGCCCCAAACCCTGAACCCAGCAACAAACCACGTGCGCTCACACGGCGACGTGCAAAGCAACCTGTTTGTGCTTGTGTATTCCTCGGTTGTTTGTTTAATGTGGCTTCTGTTTTGTTCTCCTTTCCCTTTCCGACATCAGCGTGCACGAAAAGAAGATGCACAACAGATGTATGTATCCGTATCCAAAACGACGTGTTTTGCATTCTCGTTCTCACAACAACTTATTATGTTGTGTATTCTCCTCGAAGCATGACTCAACTCAACGAAAGGTCCTAGAGTCAACAGAAGAAGAGAGAGAGAGAGAGAGAGAGAGAGACAGAGTGACAGAGAGACAGAGAGACAGAGAGACAGAGAGACAGAGACACAGAGACACAGAGACACAGAGACACAGAGACACAGAGACACAGAGACACAGAGACACAGAGACACAGAGACACAGAGACACAGAGACACAGAGAAACAGAGACACAGAGACACAGAGACACAGAGACACAGAGACACAGAGACACAGAGACACAGAGACACAGAGACACAGAGACACGACACAGGGACACACAGGGACACAGGGACACAGGGACACAGGGACACAGGGACACAGGGACACAGGGACACAGAGACACAGAGACACAGAGACACAGAGACACAGAGACACAGAGACACAGAGACACAGAGACACAGAGACACAGAGACACAGAGACACAGAGACACAGAGACACAGAGACACAGAGACACAGAGACACAGAGACACAGGGACACAGGGACACAGGGACACAGGGACACAGGGACACAGGGACACAGGGACACAGGGACACAGGGACACAGGGGCAACGGGAACCGCAGTCACCCACCTATACCCTAGTATTGGAGCAGGTTCCCAGCAGTCCCACAGCATCGGTTAACCCGTAGAAACCTGTAACGCACGCCTTCGGGCGGCCCTCCTCAATAGGGGAGGGTTAGGTGCACAGAAAGAAAGCAAGGGGCAACGGGACGGGCACGAAACCCCCACATGTCAGTCACAGGGCGGGCGCGGACGCCCGGGGGCTTGTCCCCCATGCCCCCAGAAAGAAAGAAAGAAGGAAAGAAAGAAAAACACAGAGAGAGAGAGTGAGAGAGAGACAGAGAGACAGAGAACGCGCGGGGGTCTTCGGGCCCTCATGCCCCCAAGAAAGAAAGGGAAGGGGGAGCTCCCGACTAACAAAAACCGACCACTGACAGCGCTGGGAGGGGCACCCAACAAGGGGTAACCTCAACAGTGGGAGGTTGTCTCACCGACTGAGACCTTGGAGCATGCCCCCCAGGGGCGGTCTTCCCTTCGGGGGGGCCATGTGCAACGGAAGGAAGGAAGAGAGAGCGAGAGCGAGAGCGAGAAAGATCGAGAAAGCTAGAGACCCCCTTTGGTGTGTCCCTCTCATCCTTCCGGAGTGTCCCGCCGGAGTGTCGCAGGAGTTGTGGCAGGGCGAGATGTACATTAAGGTTTCGAGATGTTTCGAGTGCTGTAGTGAGAAGCCGAAAGCACCACGCCATACGTTCTGCTCTGCCGCAGGTGGACCCTTTGGGGCGGGGCAGAGGCCAACCTGCTTGATAGTGCTTTTCGTGCTCTTGGACCACTGGGGTGACGTCCAGGAATGTCCAGGAACTTGTACCGGTAGGATGACTGCACTTGTACAGCCAAGCCAGTGCAGCTCAGTGTTGCGACACGTGTCCAAAATCCGGAAGTGCAGCAGACGGGTCATGCTGTTGAGGGAGATGTGGTGCCGACTCAGGCAAACAATTCAATGTTCAAGCAGTTGCCTTGCGTATGCCAAGCCGCTGCTGGGCTCGCCAGCATTCGCCAGCTCATGGATCACGTGATCATGGGTTATGAGCTATGGCGTAGCTATGCGTTCCTGCATCTTAAGTACCGAAGTTCTTACAGATGCACAGATTCATTTTCGCATACCAGATCATACCCGGCATACCCAATTTGAGCGGCATTCCGTTTGAATAAACGTCGGCAACGCAGCCAACCATGAGAGAAGGCCAGATGTAAGCCATTAGGCCACTCAAGAGAGGTGGCTTGTCCAACATGCCAGAAGCGGCGGGAAAAGAATCGTGAAGACACGTGCAGGTGTTTGAAGTCGTGTCCAACCGAACACTGCTCTCGCCTCTGTCGATCTTTGTGTTCTTAAGGCTGATGCAGCCAAGATTGAAAACAAAGGGCTAGGCAGTCACGATAGAAGGGTTCCAGAGTTCTGGAGACGACTTAGGCTGGAACCAAATGGAACCAAATACCCACAAACACAAATGTGACAGATAATAGCAGCTGGGCCCAACAGACTCGAGAAACTTCACAAGCCGATTCTAGAGGGGCGGCTGTGGCTCCAGGATGTAAATTTAAAGCGAGTGCAACATCAGGGATCGATTACGGCTTATGCTTCCATTGGTGCAGGGCTGAAGCAAGGTCATCTGTTATGCTTGAAAGTATCCGAACCTGATGTCTATCCGATTGCACTGAGGTTCAATATGTCAGCCGGTCTGGAAACATTAAATTCAGCGCCTGGTTGGAAGAGCGCGGCTTCCCCGGCTGTCGACAGCCTTTGCCAACAAGGCTTGTTGCGGGAACTTGATGCGTCCCCTGGTGCTTCCAAATTTCGAAATGTCCCAAGCATCCCAGTTGCAACCTCCAGCGTCCACTGTGTTTTCTTGGAGTCTGCAAAAACATGCAAAGACTTGCAAAGCTTGTGACGTTGCTTGGCGTGATGCCGTCTGGTCTGCATTGGAGCTCGTTTGAGCTTTGTGATATTGAGATATGTTGAGTGCTGGGGGCTGTTCTGAGTGGGGTTGTGTCATCTTTCGTTTAACATCGAATCATTTGGACGTTATTGGACGTTGTGCCGCGATCAAACGCGGATGCCGTGGCATGACTTGTGCGATGCAGCCGCCGCATGGGCAAGGACGTGGCGTTTTCATTTTGAGTGAGTTCTTCGCGTTGGCCCAGTGGTCCCTATGGGTAGTGTTGCTACTTCGATTGACCAGCTACTCTCATCTGGACATCGCGCTCCGAAAACGCGTTTGCACTGGATATGCGTGAGAAAGCCAAGGATGGCTCAAGTCCTCCATGCCTGCAGTCAGCGATGAGGCGGAGGAGGACCCCCTGACACGCTTGCCGACGGATGCACACGTGGCGTTGCATGCCGTTGGCCACCTCCACCGCGTCGCGGTGTCGCCTGAGGCACGCGCTTGGCACCTTGCGCCAGCTGAATCGCAAGCTTGGAGGAGCCTGCGCCATCTGCTCTGCAACTCCACGCGCAGGGCTGTCGCAGAGTCTGTCGCGGTGTCTGCCGCCAGGCCGGCGCGCGTGTTGCCTGCAAACGTGCATGTGGCCGACTTGAACATCGCTGCATATCGACGCGAACGTAACGGATGACCAGTGGCTGTGTGGTGGACTGTTGGGTTTTCTTTGTTGTCTGGATGTCAAGAGCGTGGAGGAAGTGCGCTATAGCATTCAGGATTTGTCAGACCATGGGATGCGGCGCAGCTGCCGGACCTAGTGTGCGCATGTGTGCGTCACCACACCATCCACACCATGCCTCATTCGGCTCCGCTGCTTACGCAATGGCACGCGCCGGGTTATTTGGCTGACTCTGCAGGCAAACATAGTGGGGGGTTCCTGCACGGGAAGCGGAACAAGCTCGGGATCACGGTGGCGAAGGCGCCGCACCATTCCGATCAGTGGAGCTCGAACCTTTCGCAAGGGGA